GATCCCTGCAATCCTGGTGGAAGTGGTAGGTAGTGAAGGAGAGGGGAATTGGTTATTAATGAAATTGAGCTATTAATGGACAAAAGTAATACCGTTTTGGATTTATAACAGATGATTTTATGCCACTTGCCCACCTTTTGATGAAATATGGAAGGTGATAATTAAAAAAATATAGATAAAATTATGTGCTTGCCAAGGAACTGTAGAAGGTCAAGGGAGGACCCAAAACATACCATGATGTGACTATAGAGGCATGCTTATAGGATCAAATGGTATAAATACAGATGTAACAGGAGAAAAAAGAGAGAACCCACTATGCTGATCAACTGAACGCTGTCTCTGTGTCAATCATTCTTCGCTGACTCCGTCCACACCTTTGGGAACCCCTGGACCTACTAGGGCTAGACCTCAACAGTTGAGCAGCGACCTATGAACCAGAAGGTCACTGTTCCATTCCCTGGGCATATGCCCAAGATGCAGGCTTGATCCCCCATAGGGGGCATGCAAGAGGCAGACAACCAATGATTGATTTTCACTCATCATTGATTTTTCTCTCTCTCTCTCCCTCTCCCTTCCTCTCTGAAATCAATAAAAATATATTTTAAAAAGAGTAGATGAGTAAGTAAAAGACAGGTAGGATCTGACGCAGACATAGGAAAGACAGAATCTAGCTCCTCCTGTGTGAAAATCTCCAACAATATTTGTGCCTATGGTGCTATGCCGGATTTGAATATCCTACCTATAAAATTCCAATGGGGTCTGTATCAATGCATTTTTTCAACATTAAGCTCATAGTATGTTGAGGACAAAACATAGACATGTTATTTGGAGAATTGATTTTTTTTGGAGAAAAAAGTTGCAGGTAGGAAAATTGTCACTGCAAATGTTACTTAAAACAAAACTCCTAAATCCCCTTAATGTCTATGAGTGATAAGAAGTTAAAAATTAAAAAGTGTGTCAATAATAGAAATACTACAGAATCATAAAAAGTAAATGTGATATTAAATGAAAAAGCCCTATTTAATATTAGATGTAATTGTGAATATTAATTAAGCTATGAATACACGAAGAAGAGAATATAAGAAAATAATAGTTAATGTGCCGGCAGTGAAGTAATAAAGTTGGAGAACTTGTGGTCATTTCTATTAATTTGTCCACATATTTTTGAAGTAAAATGAAATGACAAAATAAAACCAACACTAAAAGCAAGTACAAAGTAAACAGGTCTTTAAATGCCTGGTGTTCTCCTTGAGTCATCCAGGAAAGGGAAAAGCACGTGATCTTCTGAGTAGTGAGCTGGAATTTTTAACAGTAAAAAAGTGAACCATACGCACCTTAAGTGTGGTCATTCTTGTCTTCTTACTTCTGCAAATGTAGGTCCTGGCTGAGATATGGAGAGTCCTCGCAGGCAGAGCTGTGCCTAGGAGTTTCTGAAAAGACAGAAAAAGGGCATGAAAGGGTGACCGGGATGTTGCTCACCTCCCTGAACACTTCCTGTGAATTAGCCAAGGAGCCCCTTTCTTGTACACAGCCTGGCGAGATCTCAGCAGGGCCTCCATTCCTGCACCACACACACACTGGCACCATCTCCAACACTGCCTTGTGGTACCCAAGGTCACAAATCAGATTCTGGTATGATACAAATTGAGACAATAGAATGTCCAGAGCAAGGATCATCTCTGGAGCAGCAATATATGGGTTCAAATCCTAATTCAGCATCTCACGGAGATGGGTTGTCTTGGGCAAATTAATAACATCTCTTTTCCTCAGTTGTGTCATCTGTACAACTGAGAGAATATTAGCTCCAAATTAATTGAACTCTTCAGAGCTGGTTAACACTTTAAACACTAAAAGGATTTATTTTTATAGCTATAGTAAAAAAGATGGTATTTTATAATATGAAATTGGTCTATAATGTGATCACTACCAAAAGACATTGTATGGTACCTGTACTTCTGAAGTGATTATTCTGTTCTGTGAAGGTCACTCATAACTTCTGAAAAATCTGTTGACTCGGCCTCATTGTCTTCCCTAACAATGTGAAGCTTTAGCAATAATTTTTAAATGACCACAGACAACTGTTTTCTAAAAACAACAACAACAACAACAAATTGGTTTCTAGTATCTGATAAGAAACACAAGATTCTGGACAAGATTTGTGGAAAACAGTTTTGGCAGTTTCTTAAAAGGTTATTCCTAAAGTTACCAATCACCAAGCAATTCCACTTCTAGGTACCTATCAAAGAGAAATGAAAACATATCTCCAGACAAAAACTTACACCTAAGTGTTTCTAAAACTGTTATTCATAAGAACCCCAAACAGGAAACAACTAAAATGTACACCTATGTGGGTGAATGGATAGGAAAAGTGTGGTATATCCACAATAAAATATTCATGGGCAATAAAAAGGAATGGAATTATGATATATACTACAATATGATCTTGAAACATTATAAGTTAAAGAGCCAGTCTCAAAAGACCACATATTGTATTATCCCATTTAAATAAAAGGTTGAAAAATACAGAGACAGAAAGTAAGCTAGTGGTTGGTCTGAGATATGAGAATGAGGATTAACTATATATGGGAACTAGTGGGCCTCAGCCCGACCTGCCTCCTCTCACAGTCTGGGAGCCCTGAGGGGCAGGAGGCGACCCGGCTATCAGGGGAAGGCGACGCCCCCATCACACCTCTGCTGCTGTGCAAGTCTTGGCCAGGCCTGGTTACCTGAGCCTTGGGCGGCTTTGAGCAGCTTGGCAGCCGCCACCCGAGGCTTGCCTGCACCTTGGGCCGCCCTAATGACTGGGGGGCTCTGGTGGGGCTGAGGGACTGGGCATCACCATCTTGTGGCTATGGGCACTGCCATCTTTGTGATGGGGTAATGGTCAATTTGCATATTCCCTCTTTAGTAGATAGCATAGCAGAGAGAACGAAGATGGTGGTGTAGGTAAATGCCGGTACTCACATCCTCCCACAACCACTTCAAAGTTACAACTAAAATACAGAACAACCATCATTCAGAACCCCCTGAAATCTGGCTGCATGGAAGTCCTATGACTAGAAAAGTAAAGAAGAAAGTGCATCGAGACTGGTCAGATGGGTGGAGGCACAAAACAGGCTGGACCGACACACGTGTGGGTTTTTTTTTTTAACTCGGGAGGGACAGATATATTGGCTGTGGAGGTCTCCCGCGAGGAGCAAGGGGTCCCAGCCCCACACCAGACCCCCACCCAGGGTTCCAGGGCTAGAAAGAGAAGTCTCTGTATCTTTGGGGTGTAAAACCACCAGGGATTGGGACAGAGTGACATGGAGGCTGCTGGAGAACCAGGCATTTCCTCTTAAAGGGCCAGCACAGGAGTTACACAGTCCCGCTCCCTCTGAGCTCCAGCGCTGGACAGCAGCATTGGGGGAATCAGGGACATACGGGAGGAACTGGATTGTCTGGCATTGGGGCAGGAACACAGGGGTGGCTTTTTCACAGACAAGGGTGCTTGCAGGGGTCATCATTCCTGTGCTGGGACCTCCCCCATTTCAGAGCTGACTGGCAGCCATATCTGAGTTTCCATCAGTGAGGCTCACACTGTTCACTCCACCCTGGTGATTCCCTGAGAAACCTGCCCCATCCAACTTGCAGCCCCACCCAAGTCGTTTGCAGTGGCTTTTCTGTCTGAATGTCCTATCCTGGTTCAGGCTTTAGACTTTCCTAAAATCTCTCAAACGAGGAGCAACTGGTGTCAACATGCCCCATATCTTTAATAATAAAAGCATAATATGCTAATTAGACCAGACGTCCTTCCAGATGACCTTCTGAATGAAGCCATGGTGGTGGGGGGTGGCGTGGGGGAAGTGCTAAGGCAGAGGCGGCCATGGCAGCAGGCGGGGGTGGAGGCAGAGTCAGCCACTGCGGCATCAGGGGCTGAGCCCCTTGCACAAATTTCGTGCATCGGGCCTCTAGTCTATCAATAAGATATCCAAGATTTGGCACTCATACTAGCCTGCCTTGCTTCACAGCTTGGCCTAACCTGGGCACCTCCAAGCCCAATACAAATAGCAAACAGCAGCCATCTGCAGATCCTTCTGTAGCTCCTGACAGGTGGCCCCAAGCGGTGGCAGACTTTGCACGTCCCAGAAGGCCCCAGAGCCAGCGTACCTGTTGGACAGCTTCAGACTATACCAGATTACAACTCTACACATCACAAGCCACACACTCAAGGAGTAGACTCTGTGAGCACCAAAGCCTCACTGAACCATGTCCTGCTCCATAAGGGTGTCTCTTGCACAGTGGCTCTTCCACTGTAGTCGTACCTGGTCCTCACAGTCAATTGGCCGGGAGGTCAACTCCTCGAAATCAAGGCTCAACTACAATAAGACTGTGCACACAGCCCACACAGGGGCACACCTAGAGGGCCCAGCTCAGGTGTCTGGGGAGGCTGAGCCACTGGGCCCTATAGGACACCTACTACACATGGCCAATCTACCAATTCCAGGAGACAGCAAGTCAACCTAATACATAGAAACAAACACATGGAAGCTGCCAAAATGTGGGACAAAGAAACATGTGACAAATGAAAGAACAGAAGAAATCTCCAGAAAAAGAACGAAATGAAATGGAAACAAGCACACTACTAGGTAAAGAGTTCAAAACAACGGTTATAAGTTTGCTCAAGGATCTTAATGAGAGGTTCAAGGGACTTAGACTTTCAAGGAACTAAATGAAAATTTCAAGGATCTT